ACATGCTGTATAGTCTCAAACTGGGCTCAGCCCTGCTCAGCTGACCCCAGTGGTGACTAGTGGAGGTGGCAGTAGCTGCCAAGGAGTAAGTAGGCTGGAGGGTGAAATTGAGAGGTCAGTGCCACCCTTGGGGTGTCCCCAGCATGCATCCCTGGAGGATCCAGAGCTGGTGGTACAAGCAGTGGAGACAGTTGGAATTGGACTCCCCAGCCAGGCTGGGGCCATGCTTTTTGCTTAGGGCGCGTGGGTGACAATCTTGGCTTTTGTCTCCAGAGCAATGTGGAGCATGGGTAATTAGAAGGGATGATCAGCAATGTGCCTTTCCAAGGCTGTGATTAAACAAAAAATAGCCTCTATTCTTCAGCTGGCAGGAGGAGCCACGGTGAGCTGGGTGGGCCACAGGTCCCAGTGCTGGGGCTGGCAGGGTGCTCTGCCTCAAAGTCTGTCACAAACAATTTCCACATAAACAGCTGTGGGCTTACTCACCCCAAATCTGGGCTCAGCAGAGACTCAGCCTGAATGGGGTCACGCAAACAGATGAGTGGGAAGAAACAGGTAGCCTAGTGATGATGCCCTAGAGCTCTTTGTAAGTGGCTTCCTACCACCAAGACCCTCTACCATCAGCTCTTCTTTCCAGAGGCTCAGGGAATCCTCTAGAGGTGGAACTGCAAAGCCAAGGCCCAGGCCAGGCAGTTCTAGAAATTCCCAGAGGTTCTATGGTGCCAGTTCCCATGGGGACCTTTAAGAAATGTGCTTCCCAGTAGGGGCTGCTCTCCTGGACCTGATTTCTCACGAGAGTTTAGCAGCACAGAAATGTCTCATAGCTCTTTTTGTCTTGGGATCTTTACTTCCTGACAATTTTCCCCCAAATGCCCAGGCCCTTAAAGCCTATAAATCCTGGTCTCACAGGGGCCCCAAGTCTGATGAGGAAATAGACAAAAAACTCCATACTAGTGAGCCAGGCCCAGATCAGCATGCTGTGACATGACCATCTCGGCTTAGATAGGCTGGAGAAGGCTTTCCAGAGGCAGAGGAAATGAGCAGGGTTTTGTAGACAAGTAGGAATTTCCTGCAGCGGTACCTCTGCAGAGGTACAAAGACCTTCCCAGACAAACAGCCCAGCATCAGCAAGGGTGTGGAGGAGTGAAGGAGTTGTCTTGTGAGAGGGTCAGAGCTAGCAGCCTCAATGATTGGAGTAGGGATGCTTGGTTCTTAGAAAGGCAAGACCTTGTGGGAAATGTGCAGGCAGAGTGGCTTGCAGGATGCCTTCCTGTGCATCCAGAGACTTCTGCTAAAACAGATGTGTCGTCCTAGGGTAGATCTGGTTCTGGTGGTCAACTGTTAAAGGACCAGACTCTAGATCAGACAGGTTCAGCCTCCCCTCCTCCCTAGTGTAGAGCAAAGCTTTCTGGTTTTTGTGCATTGAAGAGAAGCAAGGCTCTGTCCCCAAAGTGTGTAGGAGGTGAGACTCTTCCTTTTTGCTAGATCAGGTGAGTGACACTGGAGACGATGGTGCGGCTCCCATCTCCAGCCACCACAGCATCACTTCTGGCTGGGGTGCAGCGCTCGTCCACCAAACAGAGCATCTCTGGGATTAGGAGAGGGCAGAGAGAGGATGGGGGAGCTCCTCGGTGTGTGTCATTATTGAGGGCACAGGATCCAGCCCACCCTAACGAGGGCGTGGTGCCCAGGAGATAGCAGGACCCTCATGTCTTCCCTGTAAGTTATTTATAGCCTAGCTATGCTAATTTGTGGCAATCACAGCATTTAATCCTATAATCACACTGCAAGCAGGCACCCAGCCCAGAGAGGCCGGAGAGCCTGCCAGGGCTTGGGGAAGGACTTGGCAGCAGGGCAGGCAAGTGTGCTGGCAGCGATGTCCCCATCAGCCTCCAAGCCACTGTGTCAACTGCGTCCCCTTCTCTCAGGGCTCAGTGCCCCCTGATAATAAGAATAATCATGGCAGCAAACACCTGTCACACTTTTTATATTCTATGCCCTGTTCTAAGCTAGTTATGTACGTCACTGTTCCGTGAGATAGTTTATTTCTGCATCCCAGGTGAGGAAACGAAGGCACTGGGTTACAAAGCTTAAAAATGCAAGTCTGAGCCCAACATGATAGCGCTTGCCTGTTATCCCGGCACTCTGGGAGGTTGAGGCAGGAGGATTTCAAGTTCAAAACCAGCTTGGGCTGCTTAGCAACTTAGTGAGACCCTGTGTCAAAAAATTAAAAAGAGCTGGAGATGTAGCTCAGTATAAAGGTCCTGGGTTCTTGATCACCAGTACAGAACAAAAAATTTTAAAAAGCCAAGTCTGGAACTCCAGCACTCTGGCTGTAGCACCCATGGTTTAACCACAACCCTTCCAGCCCCAGAGGTGGGGATGCCCCAGGCCCCCTCACCTTGCCATGATCTCAGCCCTGCCCTGACTCCTGGTTCCTCCTGGTTCCCTCACTCCTGATGAGGCTGCACACATAGCTACCGTGTGTCGGCTTCCTTCCTGCATGCTCTTCTTTCATGTCGTGGGAAGAGGTCTTGAGGCAGCAGAGCTGGACTTTAATCTTCACGGTGCCATGATACATTTGTACTCTGTGTCTTTGCAGAGTGGGCTTGGCCATGTCCATCTGACAGGGAAGCTGTGTAGTTCAGAAGGACAGGGTAGCATCCGGCGAAGCATCAAATATGAAGTTCTCCAGCTGGGTTCCCTTGGTCTTATTTAGGTGGGATGTGGCAAGTTTGATGTGGGTTATTTTTCCTGGAACCTGGATTGTTTGAGCCCCAGTTTGCTTATCTGGGGCTAAGAACAAGAGCATCCAGATCTGGCGGATAATAGTGGGGACTAAGTGGGATGACACATATACAGCACACAATGCCTGGCACATACTAAACTGGGCCCTTCCTATCATCTCATATTATCTTCCTGTTCTGAGAACAGGGCCTGGGTTTCCCATAGCTAAACCCAGGCCCAGGAATGAAGCAGAAGCACCTAAGCCACTGGAAGAGTCATTGCGAAGTGCTGCACAGAACCAGGCTCAGAACAGTTTTTTTTTTTCCTCCTCCCCCTAAAAGCTAAACCCCTTCATCACTTAGAAAATGATTTCCTGTCTGTGTGGGCAGCAGCTCTGAGATCATAAAGCAGTTACCCTCAGTCTAGGGTTGTGCCTGTGAGGACAGAGTATTTCAGAAATGGACCTCCTTGCTGAACAAAGCTCCTCCTTTGGAATTCTTTGTAGAGCACCTTTCCCCTGGGCTGGCAGTGGCTGAGGCGGTTGCCTTAGACACAGGTTGGCTAGGTTTGCCACCAAGCCTGCGAGAAGGACCCTCCCCAGCTGTGACTCCTAGAGGTAGCAGCAGACTCCTAGAAGGGGAAGAGAGGAGTATGAGGAATTAAAGGGTCATTCTCACTAGAATGGGCTTCTGTAAGAGGTAAACCAGTTTCTGTCAGTGAAGGCAAACAAGTGCTTTGCTGTCTAGCTGTGGGTTTTGGCCATGCAGAGGACACAGTATTTTTCTCATGTTGGGGAGAAAGGAGAGGAGGCAAGGTGGGCTGGGTGAAAGGAAGAATTTCTCAAAGTGGCCAGTATATTTGGGCAGAGGGTGGTTGTTGAATGTAGTTGAGGCCCCTCTCCACCTTCGAGTCCTCTATCACGACATTTGGAAGCATGGGTGTTAGAAGGATGATTGGAGCACTTTTCTGTAAAGGGCCACGTAGTAAACAGTGCAGGCTTTGAGGGCTGCAAGTCTCTTGCCACTACTGAAGTCTGTCGTGTGTTGTGAGAGCAGCCATAGGCGATCTGGAAACGAATGAGCCTGGCTATATTCTAATAAAACTTTATTTGAAAAAACAAGTTAGAGACAGGAGAGTCAGAAGGAACCTTGCATCAGGCAGCTGGGAGGAGCCAGGAGATCTCTTCTGGCAGTAACCCGCTTTGCTCCAAAACTTGCATGTGATGCCAAATGTCACCCACATGCTGGACTTTGAGGGTCCACCTTCCCCTGGACCATGGTCCTTATTGGCTCTCAGAGAGCTTTGTGAGATTTCTTCCCTCCCTCCCCATCCCACCATTTTTTTCCCCTTCAGTGGTGAGAGTGGAATCCAGGGCCTAACACATGCCAAGCAAGCACTCTACCATTGAACTGTACCTCCTGACCCAACCAGATATATTTTTTAAAACTATTTATCTGGCTGTTAGTGAAGGCTGTTGGGGGAAATAGACTCAACGGGAGAAGAAGAGAGTTATAAAGAGGGATTCATTATGGGGGATTGGTTCTCACGGTTACAAAGGCTCAGAAGTCCCATGATCTGAGACCAGTGGAGGTTCAGAAAAGCCAGTGGGGTTGCTTCTGTCTCAGCCCAGGGCCTGAGAAAGAGGAGCCCTGATGAGTGAGGGTGGGAGAGGATGGACATCCACACTGAGAGAGTGGACTCACCTTTCCCCTGCCATGTTGGTGCCCACCCAGCATAGAGAGCCCGTGTCTTCTTTACAAGGTGTCCTAATTCACAGGTCAGTCTCTCCTGGAAGGACCTTGCAGGCACACTGGGACATCATGCTTTGCCAGCTGTCTGGGAACCCCATCGTCCTGTCAACAGATGTGAAATGAGCCATCCCAGCAGCTCTTCCACATGTGTTGTGTGTGTGTGTGTGTGTGTGTGTGTGTGTGTGTGTGCACGCGCACCATCCATGACCGGAAGTGGCTGTCATCAGATGATACATGATGTTGCTACTGCTTTTGGTGAAGAAGAGCAGGACTGCTCCTTCTGAGGAGGCTTCTCTTCAATCCTGGGCCAGCATCCCGGGTGGCCAATCTCTTTCCTTATCAGGACAGAGCATTTCATGGTGGGTGGACCTCAGAGCAGGGGTCTGGATGGGTGACTCTCCCAACTCCAGACCATGATTCCAAACCAGAGCCCCCCCTATGCAGCCAGCCGGGTCCACAAGCGTCCAGCTGCTGTGTGTGGGGTGCGCTGGATACTAAGCTCTGCTCCTGCTCCCTCTTCAGGAGAACTGTACCGGGTGTCCTTGAGAAGACAAAGGCTCCCAGCCCAAGGAAGCATCGAGATCCATGAAGACCATGAGGTGAGCCGGGTTTCCCAAGGTGTCCAGTCCCATCTGTGGTCATAAATTTAGGAAGAGCCCTAGGGCAGTAGATGGGCTGCCTAGCTTTCATCTTGCTCCTCATCTGACTTGCCGTGTGACCCTGGGCAGATTTCTGTCCTTCTCTGGACTTTATGCTACCACATGAATAAGATCTTTTCAGACTCTGTGCTGACTTCCTCTGAGGGCCCTGCCCTCCTCTCCTGGCAGCCCATCTTCCCCCTGAATGTGCCGGAAGTCCCAGCACAAGGCAGGCCGTAGAACTCCTAGAGCTGGATCCTGGCCCCTGTCTCCCCATGTATGTATGTTCCTGTGTGCCTCATCTTTCCCCGCTGCTGGCCTCTCTATCCCCACCCATGTCCCTTCAGGAAGGCTGCTCTCAGCGCTCCTGTAAGACACACGTGCTCCTGCTGGTGCTGCACGGTGGCAACATCCTGGACACAGGCTCAGGGGACCCCTCCTGCAAGGCGGCCGACATCCACACCTTCAGCTCTGTCCTGGAGAAGGTCATTCGCGCCCACTTCCCCGCTGCCCTGGGCCACATCCTCATCAAGTTCGTCCCCTGTCCTGCCATCTGCTCTGAGGCTTTCTCACTCGTCTCTAAGTGAGTCTGCGTCTGCTTGTTTGGATGCCTGGTTGGTGTGAGCGGAGGGGGCTAAGTAGAAGGGCTGCCCCTGCCTTGTGGGTACCTGATGGGCAGGGGAGCCCCTGCCAAGGACTCTCTGGGGTGTCAGATCCAGACTGGCCATGAGCACCCCTGGTAGAAAGTGGTCAGCAAGAGTCCTCTATCTAGGAAGGTTGGTGCCAGGGTCCCCAGGACAGCCTGGATCTACTTCCTGTGCTCAATAGACCAGACCTCCTTGGCATATACTAAGAAACTGAAACCTTGATAGATTTAGCAGTTATCCAGCAGATGGAGTCAAATTAAAGCAGCCTCACTCTTGAGCTACACTATATAGCCTGGCAGGGGAGGATTCCGTAGTGGAGGTGGCCCAGGCACTGTGTGCACGTGGGGAGTAGGCCAGGGAAGACTTCCTGGAGGAGGTGACTTGTGATACCATTATAACTTGGATAAATATTGTGGCCTCTTAGGCCAGTCTGGGTTTAAATCCTTGTGGTGTGACCTTGGGAAGATGCTTACCCTCTCCCTACCTCAGTCTGCAGCTCTGTAAAATGTGGGTACTAACTTCTAGAGTTGTGAGCGTTCTGTGTGCTGCTGGGTGCACAGCCCTTAGTGCGGTGTGGGCACCTGGAAAGCCCTCGTAGGCCTGGCACCACAGCCTCTGGGGGGAGGATGCACGCTCCTTTCTTTTTCTCCTGCTTGGTGGAGAGCAGGCTGGGAAGGGATGGGGAGCATCGAGGGCAGAGATGGTATGGACAGAAGCTCAGGCTAAGCATGGGGGCAGCTCCCTCAGATGCTTGCACATCCCTGCCCACGGAGGGAAGTGGGGTGCAATTTGGGAGACCAGGACCCTCCTGGGGATCTCACTTAGTGCTTAGGACTGGGGGGCTCCAGTGTCCCTCAGGTGCTCAGGCTGACTTAGCTCCAGGGGGATATGCTGCTTTCTCATCAGTTGTCTGTAAATGAGGTCCGAGCAGCTGCAGGGCTGCAGGCATTTGGTAGATTATTGGGACTGGAAGTTGGAAGCTGTGAGCTTTCTGCAGTTAGGGTTGAAAAGGAGCTGCTGACACCTCTGTCTGGCCCTTGCCCTGTCACATGACATTGTCAGAGCTGGAGGCTGTTCAAGGCTGGCTTCAAGCATGGCCTCCACCTCCTGGGGTTTGGGGAGGGCGGGAAGTGTTCCAGCAAGGAGTGGGTGTGAATGGGAGTCAGTGGGTGTGGGAGCAGTGCAGGCAGATGTGGCTCTAGGAGCATTCAGCTGAGCAGCCTGCCCTGCTCAGCAGTGTGGGGAGGACTGAAGTCCCCCTGCCCTAAGGTTCCAGTGGGCTTGGAGACAGCTTGGCTAGACCCTTCCCTGGCTCCCTGAACTGTGCTGGATGGGGAAGAGTTATCTGTGTTCCCAGGATGCCTGTAGGCAAATCACATGAGAGACGGAAGGGAGGAAGGAAGGGGACTTAGGTGAGTGACTCTCCCCAACCTGGCTAATCACCAGAATCCCTGTGTGATTCTTGTCAAATGGCAAGATGCGAAGGCTGGCCCCTGGAACTCAGCCGGGAAGCCGGGCCTTGGAATCTGCGTCTTTAACAGGTGCTCACTGCTCCTGTCTTTAACAAACTTTGGGAACTGCCAAGCCTGTGACAGAGGTTCTGTTCTCCAACAGTCCAGAGTTAATAATTGTGCCAGTTCATAATCAATCTTGGGACCTCCGCCTCTTGCTTACCCCCAGGACATCTGACCTCCAGAGCTGGGTCACTCCTATATCCAGGAAGACGAATGGCCGAGCCATTTGAGGGAATAGCAGGAGGGAGCTTACCTCCACCCCAGGCAACTGCTTGCCAGAGCCATTAATCACCCCATAATCACTGCTGGAAGGGAGTTCTTCCTCAACTAATTAAAATATCTCTGCCGTTTCCTCTAATTCGTGTTCTTTGCAAATGAGGAATGGCTGGTGGGACTGACCTTGCACGCCGTGAGAACTCTGCCACCTGTTGAGGGTAAAGAGTCCTGTCACCTGCCCTGAATTCTATTGGGTGCCCAACAGGATCTACACTGTGCCCTGGGTTGGGCTAAGTGTGGATTGTGGAAGACGGGCAGGCTCTGGGCAGGGAGTGGGGAGTTTGACTCTTCCCTCTGTGTCGCTCCTGCCCAGCCAGTCCCAACAGTGCAGTAGGGTGGGACACACTAGGGACAGAGTGAAGCCAGCTGGCAGTGGGGAGATTGCTTTCAGGGGGTCTGAGCTGTCCAGAGAGGGAGGGACTTTCTAGTAGGGAGGTGTGTGTGGGATGTGTGCAGCTTATTCCCAGCGTATCCCCTGGAGTGAAGGGGCTATGGGACAGTCTGTCAGCCCTTTCTGTACAGCCGAGGACAGCTCTGGATCCTCTCCACTGTACAAGGCTCACACACTGAGCAGGCAGCCAGGTGCCCACCTAAAGCTAGGGCCACTGTGTGAAATCCTTCCTTCCTCCTTCCCTCCTGCCATTCCAGTTTCTCCAAAGCCTTTTCTGAGGCCCTCCAGGATGTCTGCCATGATGCTATGTCCCCATCCTGATCCACAGTAGCTGATCCCCCAGTTTATGTCTTCCTCCAGAACTGGGGTGTCCTTACGGCCGTGCAGAAGAGGGCAGGCGAGCACTGTTGTGCCATGCCATGGGCTGGTGTGGAAAGAACTCAGGGGAACGGGCATCCCATCCCCTACTCTCCCTGTCTCCATTGCCTGTGTTGTCTCACCGGGCCTTGCCTGGGTCCTCAAGGAAGGTCCCTGGAGCTGGGGGCGCCCAATGCCTGGCCAGTGTCTTCTGCCTGGTCCTCAGCCCCACGCCTGCCCTCCTCCTGATCCCAGCTGGGCTTACCGTGGGCCCCTGTCTGCAGCCTGAACCCCTACAGCCACGACGAGGGCTGCCTCAGCAACAGCCAGGACCACGTCCCCCTGGCTGCCCTGCCCCTGCTCGCCATCTCCTCCCCGCAGTACCAGGACGCTGTTGCCACAGTCATTGAGAGAGCCAATCAGGTGTACAGCGAGTTCCTCAAGTCTTCTGATGGGATTGGATTCAGTGGGCAGGTAAGACAGCCTTCCCTTCCCTTCCTGTCCTGGCTGTTGTCTGGGTTCTGCCTGCCAGAAGGCTGGAAGAATTAAGACAGGCCGTTCAAGAACTGTAGCACCTAGATCAAAGAGATTTTGTTTGGGGTGATGTGGTACTAGGGATTAAATTCAGGACCTCTGCATTGAGTTATATCTCCAGTCCCCTTTTTTATTTTTTATTTTGAGACAGTCTCACTAAGTTGCTAGGTTACCCATGTTGGAATTGAACTTGCAATCCTCCTGCCTTAGCCTCCCATTCTGCTGGGATTACAGCCATGTGCCACCATGTCCACCTCAGTCAGTCTTTGAGACTGGGGGTTTGCCCTCATTTTACAGATAGAAAAACTGAGGCCAATCAGTCCCCCCAAATATAAAGACCCAATTCAAAAATGGGCATCTGAAATGAACAGACATTTCTCATACAAAGAAGTAAAAGCAGCAAGAAAATATATGAAAAAATGTTCCACATCACTGGTCATTCGAGAGATGCAGATGAAAACAACACTGAGATTCCATCTCACCCCACAAAGAATGGCTGCTATCAAGAAATCACACAATAACAAATGTTGGCGGGGTTGTGGGGTGAAAGGAACCCTCCTCCATTGCTGGTGGGAGTGCAGACTAGTGCAACCACTATGGAAATCAATATGGAGATACCTCAAAGAGCTTGGACTGGAGGTTCCATTTGACCCAGCCACCCCTCTGCTGGGTATCCTTCCAAGAGAACTAAAAGAATCATATCACAGAGAAGTATGTGCACCCATGTTTATAGCGGCACAGTTTGTAATAGCTAAATCTTGGAAACAACCTATTTGCCCATCCGTTGGAAACTGGATAAAGAAGTTGTGGTTTTTCTATAAAATGGAATATTACTCAGCCATAAAGAGTGAGAGAATAGATTCATTCATAGGAAAATGGATACATATTGAAGATATACTCCTAAGTGAAATAAATAAGTCCCACATGTGTAAATACCAAATAGTTTCCCTGGTGTGAATATTCTGCAACAATGCATAAGATTCTAATAAGATTACTGACATTTAGAAATGGGAGGAAAGGAGCTAAAGGTGTAGGGAAGGTGTGATACGTAGGGGAAGAACAAAAAGGGAAAAGAAAAAAATGTGAGAGAATGAAAAGATGAAAATAAAGTGTTTGTAGATGGGGAGGGGAGGAGGGGGTGAAGGGAGGGCAGAGGTAAGGGGGAAAAAATGAGAATCAAGACTTGCCATGGAAAGGTACATGATCCCAACAATGAATGTAACTGTACTGTATCCCTAAAATGTACCAATAAACTCAATAAAATTAAAAAAAAAAAAAAAGAAAAGAAAAACTGAGGCCAAAAATGTGAGCTTTGATTTGGAGCCCATGTTGATCCCTAGCTGAGTTGGACCCCTCAGCATAGCCTCATCCTGTCCTCAAGCTGGCCCTAGATGAAGTCCTGCCCCCTGCCCCTGGCTCAGGCTCTCTGGGTGCCTCTCCAGGACCGGTTTCTTACTCTCTTGTGGGACGTGACCCTGTGGCTGGGTGTGGGGCGAGAGGGCGGTAGTGGGCAAACCTGCAATCCCAGCTGTGCCTCCTGCAGGTGTGCCTCATTGGGGACTGTGTGGGCGGCCTCCTGGCCTTCGATGCCATCTGCTACAGTGCAGGGCCCTCAGGTGACAGCCCAGGCAGCAGCAGCCGGAAGGGGAGCATCAGCAGCACTCAGGTGCGGCCAGGTGATGGGACTAGGGCGGGTGTGTTCCTGGAGGAGCTGAGGAGGTGGTGCTGGCACCCTTGATCCATGGTACAAATGATGGTATCGGAAATCTGCAAGAATGGCAAGAAAGTGCTATCACCGGTGGGCAAACTGGGACCCAAAGGGGGCTGATTTGGGTTTGGCTTCCTAGACAGTTGTCCAGCATCCCAGCTGGAAGGCTCATCCCCTGGACAAAGGAAACAGCCTGTCCCTCAAATCCCCCATTATTACACTGTGGGTTCTGAATGCCTTTTGGAAGTGTAGCTCCCCACATCACAGAAGGAACGGGGCTCACTTGTGCCTGGGGGAGGAGGCAGGCCCCCACAACAGCAGTGCTCTTATCCTCTCACTGGCCCCCAAGGACACCCCAGTGCTGGTGGAGGAAGACTGCAGCCTGGCCAGCAGCAAGCGGCTCAGCAAAAGCAACATTGACATCTCCAGTGGGGTAGAGGAGGAAGAGCCCAAGAGGCCATTGCCACGGAAACAGAGCGACTCCTCTACCTATGACTGTGAGGCCATCACCCAGCATCATGCCTTCCTCTCAAGGTAACCTCTCCCTTCTTTCTCTCAAAATGATCCAGGGAGGGAGGACCTTGTCTCAGTGACACCTGGGAGGTCTGTGACCAGTCCTATGTCCCAGGTCCTTCCATGGGGGCCCATAGACAAGGATCAAAATGCTGGGACCATGGCCACTTGCCATCTTCCTTGCACCAAGACCCAGGAGGAACCTGTTCCCTGTCTCTGCTGTGATCAAACTTGCAGAGAGACTGGGGACAGTTTTTTTCACATTCTGAGCCTCTACTTCATCTTCTGCAAAAGGATAATGCTGCCCAGCCTCCTTTCCTGGAGAGGATGCAGAACCTAGGGACATCAGAAATGGGGACATCATGAGCTACCCCGTGTGCCCCCGTTATCTCTCAGAGGAGCAGTTGTACCACCAGTTACCAAAGAGCTGGGGCCAGCATTCTGGTCTTCCCATTCCCATTTCAGTGCCTTGAACACAACACACTTTTGGGGGGGATCCCCCATAAGTTGTCCTTTAACTTTCTAGAAGAGATAGTTAATCAATAGAAGTTCAATGAATTAACTGCATATTAGTTCAGGATAGAAATTAGTACTGACCATAGGCCCAAATTGCAGAAGTATATTCTTTCCCTTCTCTTCAACTCTCTCTTTCCTTTGTCCCTCCTTTCTTACCTGCTGATAAGTATCTCAAGGTCATTATAACACTTGGAAAATGTATCATCTCATCACTCAACAGAAGAAGCACTGTTAACATTTTATTTCTTTTCTGTATATTTTAAAAACATATTATTCATATAGTTTTACTTAAAAAACCTCAAACTTCTTACTTTGTGATCTTTCCTCCATACAATTAAAAATATTTGGTTAATACTCTTAATGGCAGTACAATAGCCCTCTTTCACTCAATCCCCGGTAGTTGGATACTTTGGTTTTTTCTTGTTCTTCATTATTATAAATATCACTACAGTGGATATCTCTGTGTACAGACATTAATGTATATGTTAGGCTTACCATAGTCTTAGCTTGTCTGTAAGTTTTACATTCTGTGGCTTCAGTTACTTATTTATCAACCATAGTCCAAACATTACATAGGAAACTCCAGAAATAAGTAAGTCATAAATTTTAAGTTAGCACCATTCTTCGTAGCACAATGAAATCTTATGCTGTCTCACTCCTGCTCTGCCTTGAATATGAATCACTCTTTGTCCAGTGTATCCACCCTGTATATGCTATTCACTTGTTAGTCACTGTGTAGCCATCTAGGTTATCAGATTGACTGTTGTAATATTGCATTGCATGTGCACAAGTAACCCTTATTTTACTTAACAAGGGCCCCAAATCACAAGGATAGTGGTGCTGGCAATTGGGATATGTCAAAGAGAAGCCATAAAGTGCTTCCTTGAAGTGAAACGATGGAAACACCATAAGATATTTTGAATGAGAGATCACATTTACATAACTTTTTAACAGTATATTGTTGTAGCTTTATTATTAGTTGTTATTCTCTTGCTGTGTCTGATGCATCAGTTAGACTTTGTCACAGGTATGTTTGCATAGGGAAAATATGCTGTACAGGATTTGATGCTCTCTGTGGTTTCAGGCAACCAGTGAGGTCTTGGAACATATCTTCCTGAATAATGGGGGGCTACTGTACTTCCTTCAGATGGATTCTTAGAGGTGGAATTACGAGGCTCTGTGTGTTTAAACTTCTGACTATTTAAAGTTTCTTGACAGATTATCCTCTAGAAAAGCAGCTCCATGGAAGTGGGGGTTGCAAGGTGAAAATTGCAACATTTCTGGTTCACCCTTGAAAATTCCTTTCGGAAAGCCCAAAATTTGGAGAGTGAGAGAAATCAGGGGCTTTTCAATAGCTAACTGCACACAGTCAGCTTTTTCCTCTGGTACAGGGAAAGATGGCTGTTTCTCTGGCAATTAAGTAGTTGGCGTGTGACTAGGGACCAAGCTGTACATGAAATAAGTATGGTTAAACATGAATGTCATGGTCCACACTGTGAGATGCTCACCCTGTGGGAGGCAGAAGGGAACACGAGGACTAGAGACTCAACTTTGCACACTTTCTTACCCCACGAGGTGGAACCCTTGCCCATACTGCTTCAGGGGTTACTTGTAAACTCTCCTTCAGTTTGGTACTTTGAACTTCTATTCAGGTGACTGATTGGTAGATTTCACATTTCCTTTGTTGGGTGTTGACCTCTAAGCTGTACCTAATGCTCACAGGGAGGTCCCCAGATTTTTGCCTGACCCTCAGCCCCCAGCTTCAGGTCTGAGAGGAATAGAACTTGGACTCTTTTCAGAGCACCAGTTATCTGGGATGGAAGTGGGTGGAATTCTATGTGTTCTCCTGTAGCTCTGTTTCACCTCTCGGCTGGCGGGGATGGGAAGATCAAGCTGTTTGCATCTGTGTTTGCAGGTTGCCTGGAACATGAGTTCTGACAAAAACCCTAAATCCGGCAGCCCTAACACAAGCCAGCTGGTCTGCAGATTGGCCAGGCTAGGCCTCTCTAGCAGACAGTGTGGGAATTCTCAGTGTGGCTGTCACGAGGCAGCACAAGGGGGCAGCCCTTCCTGTGAGCAGGATGCTCGGTTGCTCCCAGGTGTTCAGCCTGTTTATATAAATATAGCTGTAGCGGCGTCCCAGCCACATGTATTAAGTGGCTACTTTTACGCTTTGAGGGCAGCATTAAGTCGATGTGCTGGAGACCAGATGGCCCACAAAATCTGAAATATTTACCATCTGGCTCTTTGCAGAAAAAGTTTGCTGACCCCTGCTCGAGCCAAATGTTGGCCTGGCCTTGGTGGCCAGTGGTGATTGCTGCCAACTGTGTTGGTGTTGGCCAAGTGCACTCTGCGTCTGAGCCCTCCCCTTGAGATAGAGCGTTGGACACTTGGCCCACAGAGTGAACAGCCACATTCTTGCTAGCCCTGCCCGCCTTTGTCTTTCTCTCCGTAGCATCCACTCCAGTGTGCTCAAGGATGAGGCCGAGCTCTCTGCTGCTGGAGGGCCCCAGCTGCCTGAGGTCAGCCTGGGCCGCTTTGACTTCGATGTGTCTGACTTCTTCCTCTTCGGCTCACCCCTGGGCCTGGTCCTGGCCATGCGGAGGACGGTGCTGCCTGGGCTAGACGGTGTGTATAGTTGGATCTCAGAGAGGAGGGAGCAGGAGTGTTGGGGTAGGCGGCGAAGAATCAGAGTTGGGGTCAGTGGAGAAAGAGAGGAGGGCTGGGGCGAGCAGTAAAAGGGAGAAGGGGAAGTAGATTTCCCAGATGGGTGACTTTGGATGGACTTCACTGTCCCTGTCCTATGCCCCTGGGTCATTTGACCCTATTGTGTCATAGTCACGCTCTGTGGGCAGAGAAGCCATAAATGTTCACCCCATTGCTACCCACTCCCTCCTTCCCCATTGCTCAGCAGACCCCTGCAGCCAAGTGGTTTCCCCTCCTGTCCCCATATTCAAGCCCATCACAGTGCCTTTGCACACACAGCCCGCAGCCTCGAAAACCTTTTCCAGTTCCTCCAAAATACTGTGCCATGTGAGAAGATTTGGGCACCACAGGTGTTAGCAGTGACAGAGGACAGGAGTGCAGACTCACTGCCTGGAGGCCATCTTGCGGTCAGCAAATCATTGCTTTTCTCGAAGCTCACTGTCAACCTCCAGTGTGAACAGACTGAGGAAGAGGCTGCAGTGAGGAAAGGAGGCAGAACTCATGGATACCCTGCCAGGCTGAGTCCCTCTGGGGTTCCCTGGAGCTGCCTGGTCTGGCCCATGATCCCAGGTCTGGGAGACCAGCGCGAGAGGCAGGTTTTAAGTGGAGACATCTGCTGGCCAGCAAGAGATGTGTCCTGCCAGCTCCTGCAAACCTGACTCCCTCTAGTTCCTAGCCTAGGAATAGACTGTGGTCTGGGGATCTGGGGGTCTGAGCAAGGGGCATTTGTCCTGATTTAAGGAACTTGTGTTGGTTTCATAGATTAGGTAACAAATAAGCTGGAGGAGTTGAAAGGAGTCTGACTGGTGGAAACTATGGAGGGAGGGTCTTCTAGGAAGACAGATCTACCTGAACAAGGGCACAGAGAAAGGAAAGCAGCAAGTAGGAACCGGGAATTGAAGGTGTTCATTGTGGCTGCAGCGCTTTTCTGGGTGTCTGTAGTGGCACGCGTAGGTGGGGAAGATCGGCAAGGCTTTGAATGCCAGCTGAGTGTAACAGCTTTGTACCAGTTGGTAGCAGGGAGCCATGGGAGGTTCTTGAGCAGAAGAGAAGGCTACTCAGAGCTGCGCTCCAAGGAGCCTTTTAGGGCCAAGGGAGCAGGTACTATAAAGGGGCTTTTCCATGTGTCTTCTCCACTTACCCCAGGTTTCCAGATACGTCCTGCCTGCAGCCAGGTCTACAGCTTCTTCCATTGTGCAGACCCCTCGGCCTCACGGCTCGAGCCTCTGCTGGAGCCCAGGTTCCACCTGGTGCCTCCTGTCAGTGTGCCCCGCTACCAGAGGTTCCCACTGGGTGACGGACAGTCTCTCCTCTTGGGTAGGTGCTCTGGGACTCTTCTCTGGTCCAGCCTCCCGAGCTGTCAGCTGACTTCTGAGAAGGGCCTGGGTGCGCATGGAGGAGAGAACAGGGCGTTGTTGACTCCTTTTCCTTCACAGAGGCCACCTGTGCCAAACCTTTGCTCTGCATGAGGCAGTCTGGGGCCAGAGAGCCAGACTTGGTTCCCAGCAGGCTCCAGGCCCCGCTGCTGTGGGTGTGGGCCAGTGTGACAGTCCAGCTGTCAGATTGAAGGCGAGTGCAGGGATCCACATCCAGTGCCGTTTCCGAGTTCCGGCCTGGACTCTGGAAGGGTACAGGAGGGACTAAGGCATCCAGGGTTTCATGGTGGGGTCTTTCACCATGGCCTGGTGGGGAAAGTGAATTTGAGCTGGAGGAGGAGGAAGAAAGGGGAGCCAGGGCAGGTGGGTTGGGGGAAAGGGTCAGAGGCATCCAGCGCTTAAAGGGGGTGAGGCCAAGGGCAGGCCTGGAAAGACAGACAGCCAGGGGTGGAGAAGGTGTAGCCTGAGCCTGCTCAGTTGTGGGCCAGAGATTGAGGGACATTGCATGTGGCCCAACATGATTAAGACCCACCTCCTGTCGAGCCTTCCTTTCAGAGGGACATGATTTCCAAAAGCCCTGATGTGTGACGAGCTTTCTTAGGTAGGCAAAGCTCTAAGACCCCCCACCCCCATCCTTTAGTGTTTTCTCTTCGGTCAGGGGACCCTGCACCCCAAGCAGACACCCCAGCTCCCAGGCTAGAGTTCATCTGTGTTCACTTCCAGCTCAGCCACTGCCCCTTGTGGCTTGAGGGAGGGATTTGATAGGAGAGACATGGTTTACCTGCTATCCTCATAACCTCAGCTCTGCTTTGGGGCATCTCCCAGTCTCCCTCTGCAGCTTTATTGGGAGTAGGGTTGATGGCTGGAGCCCTCACACCTGCTTGTAACACTCACAAGTTAAGAGGAGGTAAAATAGCAATGTACTTTGTCAAGGAGGCCCGTCAGTACCAGCATGTGTGAATGTATGTGTGTGTGTGGGGGGGGTTGCCTGCTGGCTGGGGCTGGCTCCCTGCATGCTCAGCCTCCTGCCCAGCGCAAGGTTGGCACTGAGTGGCTAACTCTACTTACCTTGCTCTCCCCCCTCTAGCTGATGCCCTGCACACCCACAGCCCCCTGTTCCTGGAGGGAAGCTCCCAGGAGAGCCCCGCGCTTCTGGATGCCCCTGCTTCACCCCCTCAAGCCCCAAGGTTCCAGCGTGCAGGACGGAGGATGAGCGAGGGCAGCTCCCACAGTGACAGCTCAGAGTCCTCCGACAGCCTGGCACCTGTGGGTGCCTCCCGCAGTGAGTGAGGTCTTTTTGGGGCCCTGCCTGCATTTCAGGGAGGGCCTTCCTTGGGGTGGTTTCTGGCCCATAGCCACACTTCTGTGGGCAGGCCGTCTGTAGGGAGGAGGGTGGATTCCTGCCTTCTGGGAATTGTTGGTCTGTTGGCAGAGACCTGGCTTCAGACTGAATCCTCACTGACTTCCCACACTGGGCAATGACCTCAGAGAGAACCTTGACCTCTGACCCTGGATAGGCTCTGATCTCTGACCATGGACCAAGCCTTGACCTCTCTAGGCAGTGGCAGCCCTGACCTCAGACTCACTGCTGAGCAGTACCCTGGGGGTGACTATTTGCTGAGCGGGGATCAATCTGGAGCACATGTCTTAGAGGAGGGGTGCACAGGTGAAGTTGTGGTGAGAAGGTAGGTAGGAGGGGGAGCAGCCCACTGCCCCAAGCTCAGTTACAGCAGAGTGCTCTGGCCCTGACCTTGAGTGCCAACCAGCACATTCACCACTGGGTCTGTCCTCACCTCCTTCTTGGCCCTGCAGTCACGGCCAAATGGTGGGGAACCAAGCGGATCGACTATGCTCTCTACTGCCCTGATGTCCTCACCGCCTTCCCCACCGTGGCCCTGCCCCATCTCTTCCACGCCAGCTACTGGGAGTCCACAGACGTGGTTGCCTTCATCCTGAGACAGGTACTGCTGCTCCCTTGCTGGGCCCGGCTACAGGCTCCTCCAGAGCAACCTACCCTTCTCCTACAGACCACGCTGAGCCTTGGTCTTTTTAATTTATTTATTTTCTTCAGACAGGGCCTTGCTATGTAGCTCAGGCTGGCCTTGAACTCGCAGCACTCCTCCTGCTTCAGCTTCCTGAGTGCTGGGATTTTATGTATGCACCACCACACCTGGCGCCCTGGTCTTTATTGAGGCCACTGGGAAAGCTTTGGCTATTTAAACAAGGGTGTGGTGGCATGGTCAGAGAGTGGGTTTCATAAAGAACATTCACTTCTGGGTGGCTCACAGAGTGGTACTTACTAGAAAATTGAATTGAAGTAAAGCTGGAGAACATAGCACTGTGTTAACATGGAGTGGAGCGACTCGTTCCTGCTCCTCTCTGCAGCTCCGTGTCCTTGCCTGTAGAACAGCAGGTGCAGCAGGAAGACCAGTGGCTGAGGGCACCTGGGGGAGGGAAGCAGGATGGAGGGTGGGTGTGGGCAGCTCATGGCCAGTCTGGATGACCAAGGTCTGGGTAGGATCTGAACGTGAGGTCAATAAGAAGCCACAGTGGGGTTGTGAGCTGGGAACATCTATTACCTAACTTGTATTTTGAGAGGGAAACTGTAGGGCTGCTGTTTTGGGAACAAGAGAGGAAGCATGAGTTCTCTGGGGAGGCAAGTGCAGAGCTCAGCTTGGGGGAGACAGTGTGGGTGAGGGTACTGGGTAGAGGGTACTGGGGCAGAGGCTGTGAAGATGGGGACACTTGATTCTGGTGGCAGCACTCTCTGAGGTCTGGGATGGAGGGACAGGGAGGAATCCAGTCGGTTCTGCTTTCCCTGGAGTAACTCTGGGGGTACCATTTCCTGGAGTGGGGACAAGGCTGAGCTGGGCCTTTTGGATGAAGCCAAAGCCTGGAGTTCCTGTTAGTTGCTTGGGAGAGAGGCCAGTAGATAAGCCCAGAGCTCAGCGAAGAGGTCAGGGATAAAGTGAAAAATGGGCATCATCTGCTCGAGGTGGCACTGAAACCAGGAGATAAGCACTGTGGGGGTCACTGTAGAGAGAAGGTTGGGGTAAATCCTGGAGTTCCAGGTAAGGAGGAAGCAGCTTTAGAGATGGAAGAGGATGTCCCTTGAGGTCAGAGAGGAACCCAGAGCAGGCATGCAGCAGCGAACCTTGCGTTGGGCAGGATGGAAGTCCCAGGGCCTGGATCCATGGGGATGGGAGCCTGTTGGAGAGGCAGAGAGGGGGCAGTGAGGTGGAGAAGGAGTCTAGGAGCCTTGTGGAGTTTCTCTGTAAGGGAGAACAAGGACGAGAGGAAGGTGGAGAGGCAGAGAGGGTTCTGGGAGTGTTTTTCTTTAAGCTGAGTGGCGTCCAGGTGTAAATGGATGCTAAAGGTAGTGGGCCAGGAGAGTCCAGTCAGCAGGCAGGGCTGAGAGGCGGTGTTGCTGCGTGATGACAGCGAGGAGGAAAGGGTTGGGTTCAGGGCTCTTAGCGTACAGGGGAGAGGGTAGCGAGTGGGAACAGGCATGGAGAGCAGAGGCTGCTCCCAACACAGAGCCACCTGGGTGTCAGTGCTGTGCCAGCTGTCAGGACGGGTTCCTGAGCCTCCCGCCTCTCGAGGGGTCCTGGCCAGGCCGTGGGTAGGCCGCGGGGTGCGCCCAGCTGGCCCCAAGCTGGTGGGCTCTGAACCCTGGGGGAGGCAGAGGGCCACCAATGTCCACCCAGGACCCTGCTCGCCTTTGGCCAGGTGATGCGCTATGAGAGTGTGAGCGTCAAGGAGAGCACTGGCCTGGACCCCGCAGCGCTGAGCCCTACCAACCCTCGCGAGAAGTGGCTTCGCAAGCGGACCCAGGTCAAACTGCGGGTAGGTGCACGCCCGGGGCATGAGCTTTGGGACTGTGACCCGGGGTGGTGGGGCAGCCCTAGGGTTGGTACATCCACAGCGCAGATAAGACTTTCAATTTGTCTTTGGAGGTCAGTACACATGGCTGGGATTCAGGCAGAGAGGCCCAGGCCTTGCTGTAGGGAGGGTGTGTGAGCTGGTCCTCCATGACCCAGCCCCACAGGAGCCCCGAGGTGGGGTCCAAGGAACTGGGCTGGTGAGGAGATGTGTGTTTTAGAGCAAGTGCCTCATACCAGGTTTCTGTAGATGTGGACTTGAACCAGAATAAGTCCTGCCATGGCCTCAGGCCTCTTGATGCAACTCACCATTGACTATGCCCTGGTGGAATATTTACCATGTCAGAGGGAGGCATGGATTTGGATGAAGAAGAATTGTCAGGGAAGTTCATGCAGGGCTTCTCTGAAAAGGAGGCTCTTGTGTAGGGTATTGGAGGATGAATAGGAGTTTGGGATGCAGCATGATTCATGATTCATGCAGAAAACTATCATCAGGACTTCTGTCAGTCTCTCTGCTAGGACTGTTACAGTCTGTGTACTTCTGTGCTGGCCAGCTCCAGCCTGGTGGGAGGATTACATAAGGAGCCCAGAAGGATCAGCAAAGGGTGATCAGTGCTTCATGAACCGGTTATTGTTTGTAAACATATTTATTGATGTGTTATTTACATATCACATAACTCAACTCACCTGTTTTAAACTATTTAGCACATGTTTATTGTCTCCAAAAAGAAGATGTACCCTTTAGCAATCTTCCCATATCCCCAGCCCCTCTCTTTTCCCTAAGCAAACACTGATTTAGTTTCTGTTTTGGGAGATTTGCCTTTTCTGGGCATTTCATTCAAATGAAACCATATAATTTGTGAACTTCTGTGCCCGGCTTCTTGCACTTAGCATAATGTTTTAAAGGTTGACCTCAGGTCAGAACTTCATTTCTTTTCATGGCCGAACAATACTTCGCTGCATGGGTAAACTGTATTTCATTTCATCAGCTGCCGGACATTTGGGTTGTTTCTACTGTTGGCTATCGTTGCTCATGCTGTTATAAATAGCCACGCAGATGTTTTTGTGTGGGGGATTTGCTTTCATTTCTCTGGAGTACAGCCCCAGGTGTGAAATGGCTGGATCCAATGGTAACTCTGTGTAGTCGCTTGAGGAACTGCCAGACTGTTTTCCATGGTGGCTGCACCATTTTTCACTGCCACCAGCAATGTATGAGGGTTTGATTTCTCTCCATCTCAGCAACGTCGGTGGTTGTCTATCCTTTGACTCTAGTCATCCTAGGGAGGGCCAAGGTTTCTCATTGTGGTTTTGATTTACATTTCCCCGGTGAGCATGTTGGCTGTCTCACGGGCATAGTTCCATGATCGGCCCTTCCTGTTGCAGGGTTCCTGTAAGAGGGCTGTGTCCCCTCTTTGATGGGTACTTCCAGGGCAGGGCCGATGCTATAAAGGAAGGGTCACCACATTGAGAGATGTGGGTCTCAAAGGCCTGCCTGGGACTGGCAGGTAGTCAGGGTTGATTCAGAACTTGGAGCCACAGAACGAGATAAAGGCAGAAGGGAAGGAGAGATACCGAGACGGTGATAGATAACACGATGCTCTGTGTTGATTGCTCCGAAGTAGCCTGGGCTGAGCAAGGGTGGGGGAGAAAAAGGCCAGAGTGGCGGTGAGCAGTGGCGCCGGGGCCAGGCTCAGGAGCATTGCTGTGTTATTCTCCCTGCGCATTTGAAATTTTCTGCTACACAAAAAATGGATGACAGATGGCTATTTGGATGTGAGTGGTGATGCAGAGGGAGAAACTAAAGGGGACTGGGCAGTTTCCAGCCTAGGACTCTAGAAGACAACAGGACACAGGTCCAGCTGTTAATTCAGAGGCACAGGGAGAGGCAAAAGCAGTAAACTCATCTCCACAAGAAGCTTGGAGTCACCGGGGATTTGGCTCAGTGGTTCCACCACCTGCCTCTCGAGCACAAGGGCCCAAGTTTGATCCCCAGTACTAAAAAAAGAATCTTGGGGTGCCTTGAGGACAATATTAGGGGCTCACAGTCTCTTTCTCTTATGGGAACCCATCTGTGAATCCCTAGCAGAAGTCAGTAGAGATACAACTCCATAGGTCCACACCTCTCTAGCCATCCCGAGTGCTTACTTTCCCGATAGAGCCAGCTGAAGCCCTGCTTGCAAAGGCTGAGCCAGATTCTGTCCTTCCAGAACGTCACTGCTAATCACCGCGCCAACGATGTGATTGCTGCCGAAGACGGCCCCCAGGTCCTGGTGGGGCGCTTCATGTATGGGCCTCTTGACATGGTGGCTCTGACTGGAGAGAAGGTACTGAGGTCACAGCCCCCCTCAGCCAGTCCACCTGTGCTAGATGCGGTGTGAGGGGCGAAGGTTTCAGGAGGGTCAAGCTGCCTGTAATGCGAGCAGAGAGCAGGGAGCCACTCACCTGCTGGGGCAGATCAGGGGCTCTAAGGAGTGAAGGATGTGCTGGGGGATCTGGCTGCAGTGGAGGGAGAGAAGGAGAATGGTAAAATCCAAGAATGCAGGCAGCAAGCTCCCCAGCCCAGCCTCTCTGCTCAGCCTGAACTCCTCAGTCTGCATGGAGTGCCCTCCTGCTTTACTGCCTGCAGGTGGACATCCTGGTGATGGCGGAGCCATCCTCAGGCCGCTGGGTGCACCTGGACACGGAGATCACCAACAACAGCGGTCGGGTCACGTACAACGTGCCCCGGCCACGGCGCTTGGGGATCGGCGTCTATCCTGTGAAGATGGTCGTCAGGTAGGACCCAGGGGACACTATTATGTTGACGTCTGGCACTTCTATGGCCCTTCTAGCCATGTCTGTCCAGAAGACAGGTCCTTGGCCCATGCTGTCTGCACGGAGACAGGAAAATGGAAGAAGCCACGAACTGTGGCATCAGGAGGCACCACTCATGTCTCCGATCCTGGCCCCACACTAACTCTGATTCCAGCCACAGGCTGACACAGCCCTCCTGTATCTTTCAGGGGTGACCAGACCTGTGCGATGAGCTACCTCACGGTGCTTCCCCGGGGCATGGAGTGTGTGGTGTTCAGCATCGATGGGTCCTTTGCGGCCAGCGTGTCCATCATGGGCAGTGACCCCAAGGTCCGGCCGGGCGCAGTGGATGTGGTGCGGTGAGCACTACCTCCCATGTGAGAATCTGTAGCCAGAAGCCCCTGGGGAACGGCATTGTTTTTCCTGGTTTCCTCTAAGAATTCTCTAGCCAGGCATGCCTGTAATTCCAGCACTTGGGAGGCTGAGGCAGGATTGCCATGAGTTCAAGGCCAGTCTGGGCTACATATGAGACCCTGTCCAAAAAAATAATAATAAATAAAAAAGAAAAGATAAAGAAAATTCTCAGGGTCTCTGGGGCTGGGAGCTGAAAAGTCCTGGCTTTACCTGCAATAGTAACTTGCCGAGGATCCTTGGAAAATCCATCTCCCATCCTCCCTCCCCTCCCTTTCCCTTCCTTCCTCTCCTGTTTCCTCCCTTTCTCCCTCCTTCCCTCTGTTTCTTTTCCCTTCACCCATGCATCTCTCCATGTTATTCTGAGGCTGACTCCAGGCCACGCTCTAGGCTGGGTACTGATGTAGAAATTGCTGCTGTTTGGAGAAACCTAAGTCCAACGGAGAAAACAAGTTATGGGGATGAGAAACTCTTGCTCAGGAAAGAGATGGGGCCTGAGCTAAGGAGGACCTAATGATTGGAGTAAAGAGATGGCCTGGTAGAGCTGAGGACCTTGCTTGTTGCAGGAAGAGGAGGAAGGGAGGCAGGGCAGGAAGGGGAGGAAGCACAGACATCCCCTCTCTGGCTCCAGAAGAGGGCATGGGCATAGGGAGGAGGAGTGGGGAGATTAATTTGGTTGTGGGTGCACAGGGCTTACAGGCCATCCCAGAGTGTGGACTTGGGGGTTCCCCTTTATCTCCCTGGTGCTCCCCAGAGCAGCCCCTCTGGCTTCTCAGGAGAGCAGCAGTGCTTGGGGCAGATTGCTGGGCCGTGGGTAGCCTGCAGGGCTGGATGGGACCCTCCAATGCCATCTTGCCAGGCACTGGCAGGACCTGGGATACATGATCCTTTACATCACGGGGCGGCCGGACATGCAGAAGCAGCGGGTGGTGTCGTGGCTGTCCCAGCACAACTTCCCACAGGGCATGATCTTCTTCTCCGATGGGCTGGTGCATGACCCACTGCGGCAGAAGGCCATCTTCCTCCGCAACCTCATGCAGGAGGTCAGTGAAGGCCTGGGGTTGGGGTTTCAGCCACACTCTTGGGGGCGGGGCCTTAGCAATAGACCCTCACTGGCCAGGGGGAGGATCAGACTAGCTTTCCCCCGCGCTCCTCCTCTCCTCCCACAAGCAGGTGGGGCGGTGCGTCCCAGCTCTGTAGTTGGCACAGGAGGGTGCACACTTTTCAAAGCCCACATGTAGGGATCTCTTAGCTTTTTTAACAGCCCTTTGAAGTAGGTGTTATTTTCATTGACAGATACCCATCTTTTTTCATTTCCTGAATCTAAGGCCTACACTCTTGTCTCTGCACATAGTTATTCATTCAGTAGACATTTAAGTGCCTATTGTGTTCCTTCCCTGTGCCTGGAGTTGGGCCGAGGCAGAGATTCGTCCTCCTGAGCTGTGCTTCTTATAGTGTGGGCCTAGGACCAGCACCTTTCTAAGCACCCAAGAGTTAACCAGAAGTGCAGATTCTCTGTTTCAGACCTACTGACTTAGAAACTCTGGGTGGGAGGCTCAGCAGTGTTTTCCCAGCCCTCCAGGGGTTTCTGATGCACAGAAAATACTGAGAAGCACAGATCCAGATTAGGGGTTGACAAATGAAAATTAGATGAATTCAGACTTCAGTATCCATCCCTGATCTAGAAGAAGAAAGACACGTAAACTGACAATTACTGGCAGGTGGTCGAAAAGAGGCACTACTGACAAGCAGAGGAGAGACAACTTCTGTTTGCCTGGGGAGGTTAGGGGAGGCTTCTAATAGGTGGCGACCTTTGAGTTTAATCTTGAAGTGTGGATATGAGTTGTCAGCACCAAGAGAAACACAGAGGTTGAAATTGAAGTAAGGTTAACTTTAGTTTGGGAGTAGCAGTGCCGTGGGACCAACAGAGCATTGCAGTGGGAACGTGCATGCCATAGTACACTGTACACTCATTCAGAGAGGCCGAGGCAAGGGCAAGTTTTCAAACACCCAAATGAGAAGAGTATTTTGAAACAATTATCTTTGGCCACAAACAATTAATAACAAGGGTGACATCAGTCTGAGATTGAATAGACAGTTGCTGAGCAGATGTCCTCGAAGGAGTATCTTTGGTGGAAGATTGCTGTGGCCTTTTGTGGGAGGTTGTGGTTCTGGCAGAGTCTGTTGTAATATTTACTATTAGGCAATCATGAATAAGAACTCTTCCTTCATAATCTCCCGGCTTTATTCAGTTTTTGTTAGGACTGATACAAGCAACACCATTTTGATTTTGACAACTTTTACCATGATCAAAGGCACAAAAGCAAAAAAAGACTTTAGGATATCTTCAGAGTTTCAGGTATCCAAGGTGGGGGTATATGCAGGTGGGGACAGACCCAGGACAACTAGGAGCTGGAGCCCCAGAGGTCATCAGGGGCTCAAAATGGCCAGGCACCAAAAGCCTTGGAAATCACCAAGATCATGGACTCCTTTCTGATGGTAATGAGGAGCCGTGGAAGAGTTTGAAGCAGGGGAGTGGCAGTGTCAAATTTGGATTGTACAAAGGATTCTCTGGTGGCTACATAGAGAACCGACTGGCAGGAGAAAGGAGAGTCAGTTAAGAAGCTGCTGCCAAACCAGAGATAAGAAGACCTGGTGGTGAGCTGGAATGGAGAGAGGTATATGCAGGCATGAGAATCAGGAGGTGGAATCATCAGGATTTGTTCACAGTTGGATGTAGGGGGCTGGGAACTCTCAGATGTTCTGCTGCACGACCAGGAGGGATCCCGATGCTACTCATCTGACCATCACCTCCGTGGAGGTGGAGTCTATGTCTGTGCAGCTGTGTGATGTGTCTCCAGGATTCCGGGTGACCATGGCACACAATACACACTCAGTAAATGTTTGCAGCATGAATACATGAATGAATGAGTGAATGAAATGAGAGGGGACACAAGAAGAAGGCCAGCTGTGAACGTATGGAGGCTGATATGGCCACGGGCCACGAGCCATGTGAGCCTCAGCACGTGGCTCAGGGAAGAGGTCTGTGGGTTGCAGGTGGAGACTGGAGCCATTGTGTGAGGCAGGTCAGTGAAGCCATGGTGGCGGGCATCCCTGGGGAAGGGTGGGACCAAGGGAGGCCGCATTGGGCCACCAATAGCAGGATAGGAGCTGGCTAGGGAACTAGGAAGAAAGTCCAGGGGGAAGAGGGTCGGGACAGGGTGGCTCCAGTTGTCAGGGGAGGGGGAACTAGAAGCAGACAGCACTGTGGGGTGGTGAGAACTTCCTGCATGAGGACTGGTCACTGCATGGCCTCCATGATGGAGGGACCTCTGAGGGTCAAGAGGGCAGATGCAGTGGGATGAGGAGTGGAGAGGGTGGGCCTCAGCTCGGAGGGGTCATGAGTGTGGGAGGCAACGAGCTCTCCCCATGGACACTGTGTCACCCCAGCAATGGTAGGGCTGAGGGGGAAGGAAAGCTGAGACACAGGACTGTGTCTCGCTAGTGAACTTGGGAGAAAAAAAGGTAACTCACGGGGAGGCACATATGGTGAGGGGCAGCTGGATGGTGAATGCCTCTAAGGAGGAGGTTGTTTAATCCAGTGGGGATGGGTGGGAGGTTAGAGGGATGATCTGAAAGTGCCGGTGGAGTAAGGAGGACATTGAGTCATTTTCTCAACTGAATTGAGTCTTCTGGGGAGGATATCAGGCCAGCTGATCAGAGGCCACAGGCACATGACCAGCCTAGAACTAACCTCCAGTCCTGTCCCTGTGATGCATAGACTCAATTTCCATATCCACAAATGGATATTTGGCCCCACTGTTACATAGTTTATGTGTAGTGCTCCCCAAGGTAGGGTTGGTAAATGGTCTGGTTGTTACCAAGCAGAGCCCTGTATCAGGCTTGAGGTGTGGGGAGGGTGCAGAGAGGGGCAGCCACTCTTGGAGTTGGTTCCCAGCACAGGGTGGCACTGTGGCATGAGGCATGAGTGCAGATAAAGGTCCCCAAGCTGGGGCTCCCTGAGTTGGTGCAGGAAGCCTTTCCAGGGAGGGCTTCTGGGCCTCCCCTCACTCATGAGCTGCCCTGCATTTCAGTGCTTCATCAAAATCAGTGCTGCCTATGGCTCCACCAAGGACATCTCCGTCTACAGCGTGCTGGGCCTGCCAGCTTCCCAGATATTCATTGTGGGCCGGCCCACCAAGAAGTACCAAACCCAGTGCCAGGTGGGTGGAGACCAGGTTGGGGGCTGAGGGCTGGTGGCCAGGGAAGGGCTGTAGAAGAGTAGGCCGTGCATTTGTTGGTTTGTTCATTCACTTATTGGCCCATTCATTCATCCATTCATTCAACAAGCACTGCTAGGCCCCTGCCTTGGACCAGGCTCTGTGCTGGACGAGGGGGAGCCCCTGGTGGTCAGATGTAATGTCGTCTAGTCTAGTGGGGAGACAGGAACATCTGCAGAGTGTGACAGTGTAGTACGGCAAGAGCCGTGATCGATGGCAGGCAGGCAGGATTCTGGAGAGAAACAGCTAACCCAGGCTCCAAGGCATGGCTGGCTTTCCAGTTTTGAAGGAAGGGACTGAGGTTGGGAGCAGCATTCATTTGTGGCAGAGGCAGCAGCAAAAAGCCAAGGTCAGGAAACAGCAGAGTAACATGTGTATTTTGGGAACTGCCAGTGACTCAGCTTGGTACAGGAAGGGAGGGGACAGAGGGTGTTGGGGAGGGAGGTGCATGAAGATGGCCTGCGTCTTGCCAAGCTCAGTTGCTGGAGTGAGGGATAGAGAGGCAGGATCACCGCTGTGATTCAGAAAGATCCCTCAGGCTGCACGGGGCCCAAGGAGAAGCTGGAGACTCACTAGTCAGGAGTCCTTCAGGTGGTTATGTTGGGGGACAGGATTAAGAGCAGGGTTCTGCTCTCTTCGCTGGCCTGACACCCGTTTCCTCCGTAGTTCCTGAGTGAAGGCTACGCCGCGCACCTGGCCACGCTGGAGGCCAGCCATCGCTCCCGCCCCAAGAAGAACAACTCGCGCATGATCCTGCGCAAGGGCAGCTTCGGGCTCCACGCGCAGCCCGAGTTCCTGCGCAAGCGCAACCACCTGCGCAGGACCCTGTCGGTGCAGCAGCCAGACCCGCCGACCGTCAACCCCAAGCCTGAGCGGGCCCAGAGCCAGCCCGAGTCCGACAAAGACCATGAGCGGCCGCTGCCCGCGCTCAGCTGGGCGCGTGGTCCCCCCAAATTCGAGTCGGTGCCCTGAGAGGCGGGCGGTACTCAGAGCATTGGGGCAACCAGGCTGCCTGCAGGGACGGGAGGGCTGCCTTCTCCCCGACACAGGCGTTTTCCTGCTTTTTCCCTCCCATGTCTGTCCAGCCGTGTCTGACCCGAGCGGGGAGGGACCCTGCTGGCCTTGGGGGAGCTCTTGGGGCTGCGACAGGGTGAAATCCGGGGGTCTCAGAGCTGCTGCCGCTGCTGCCTCCCCACGCAGGGACGGCAAGCCCTAGTCAGGGCTTTGTGTCATCCTGCGGCCAAGCCTGCCGGAGCCCAGTGTTCTAGCAGAGTCGACCCTCTTTTTGAGTCCCCAGGCTCCGTGGCTAGGCTAGGCGAGCTCTACTGGGAGAAGCCCCCAGCCCGGGGATCAACAGCCGCTGGCAGGTGCTGCCTCTTGGCTGTCTTGTGGAGGAGCGAGTGGCATTTGTGCCCGCCCTCCTTGTGATATCCCTATCTTATGGCAAAGTGGTCACTTTCTAGGAGTGAGAGGATGTCCCGCGGGTCCATCCTAGTATGTGGTGTCTGTCTTCAGCCCTGGAAGCCGGATCTGGTGCTGACGGTCTGTCCTCCTGCAGCTGTCCTTTGTCCCTCACTCTTGTCCTCAGTGTCCTCACCGTTCTCCAGTGGCCCTTGAGGACAGGTTCCTCTTCCAGGATCCCTGCTTTTTGGTCCTCTCCTATGAGGCTACAGTCTTGGGTTTTGGCCCAGCTGGACTGGCTGTGTGCCCTTGAGTCTGCTGCTCACCATCTCTGGACCTGGCTTTCCTTCTGGGATTGGGAGGGGGTCCACCCCCTAGCTGAGATGGGTGCAAGTTTTTGACTCAGGCTGTCCTGAACTTCTGACCTTGAGATTTTTCAGCGTGCACGTTATAAGGTGCCCCTTCCACACAGTCTCACTGAAGGGTTCTGGGTGGGCCGGGGGAGGAACTCTTGGCCCAGCACCCCAGAGGAAGCCTCTGTTCCATGGGGAGCCACAGCAGGCTTGTTTTGCACTGACACCCAAATGGGGCATTCCAGGGACAGGAGTCCCCCAGAGGGTAGTGATCTGGCCTCCCACCTCCGGCTCTGATCAGACCTATTCCCCTGTTGGTTTCTGGAAGGCACAGAGTTGAGATAGCAGGGCCTATCATGGGGGCTTCATGGAATTTTGGCTCAAACTTGTACTCCTTCCCTTCCGGCTACCACTTAGCTTGGTTTGAGCCTCTAGCCTCCCCTGGGTTGTTGCCTTGAGGGTGCAGGGCTTGGCTCTCCTGGGGCCCCTCAAAGTCTGCCCAGGTCCTCCTGCTACTGAGCCCCTGGCCCAGGCAGGGTGTCCTGCACCTGCCTCTGCTCCCCACCCAGGCTCACACCTGTGGTGGGGCTGTCCCAAGCTGCCTCTGTGCCCCCATGGGCTGCCCCTGAGGCTGGCCCTAGCTCTGTCAGCCGGGCTGCCCCAGGGCCCAGACATCTGTATACACAGCAGGCACCTGTGTGAGCTCAGTGTCGCTTCTGCTCACTGTCTACCTCTTGCAGCTCCCCTACAGCCCGCGGCGGCTGCTTCTGGGGGGCAGTTGGCATCATTGTAGTGAATCGCCTTGGCAACCTGGGCACCCTGCTGGGGCCGGAGGGGTCTGGGCCCTCAGACCCCACCCCCGCACCTTCTCCAGCCTGCCAGATACTGCCGCCTTTGCCCAACCCACCTTCCAGCTCTTGTAATCCCCTTTCAGCCCTGCATCCTGTGTCCGAGCCCCATGAGGCTGCGGGGGACGGGGGCTCGGCCACTGCTTCCTCTGTGGTTGTCTCTGGCAGTTTGCACAGGCTCACCCCCCCTTTAACACGGCGTGGTTCTTGACTCCCTCTTGGCACCAGCTCCTCAGCATAGCCACTTTGTTCCTAACCCTTTCTACTCCTTCCCCCCAAAATATCTTGATTTAAACTTGAGCGGAGTTACTTTCTAATTTTTGGATGCTCCATCATTTCCTTTTTGTGGGAGTCACTGACGTGTCACTTTCAAATGATGAGATAATTAGCGTGAGACCCTTTCCCCCAGGTAGGTTCCCTCCTCCCTTTCTGAGATCCCCCTGGCTGGGGAGTGGGGTGAATGGGAGGGGGAGCACCCACTTGTGAGCTGGGGTCCCCAGGGAGGTGGGAGTCAGTGACCAGGGCTCTGTGCTTCCGGAGGTTAGAACTGAGACACAGGACCCGGCAGGAAGGCTACCACCCCTTCCTTTGCCGGAACCCCATATCGGGACTTTGGCGGCTCCCGCACAAGATGCTCGCGGTGTACAGGGATATATTGTGAACCGAACACCCTCCGAGCTGTAGTCGGTGTGTGTGAATGTGTGTGTACTTGCAGTTCTGTTTAGTCTCAGTATTGCCTTTTCAGCAACCGTTTCCCCCATACGCACTTTCTATACTAGTGGTGTGTTCAGTTTTGTCTGGTAAGTCAGAGACAAAAAGAACTGAGCTCTTGTTCTCTGGAGGGACTGCTGTAGCCTCTCTTCCAGTAGTTCCGTGACCCCCAATCCAGCTGTTTTTAGACTCCTAGCTCCTGGTGTGCCTGCTATCTAGCAGCTGGAAAACAGATCTTCCCGCCTGACTAGAGCTCCTTACTTTTCCCGAGGCATGTTTGTTCTTCCCCACGCAGTGGCTGTGCTGGCTGAGGGCCTGCCTGCCACCTGCCTTCCTCTATCACTTGCCCTCTTGGGGGTTCAGGGTGCATCTTTTGCCAGGGCCTGCTCTTCCAGCATCATGGTTTTTTCCCTAAAGATCTTGACTCCTCTATGAAGCACCGCACACTGTTTAAAAAAGTTTCTTTGTGCATTTGGATGAAGAGCCTTTCTGTCTGAGTGCTGGCTACAGCAACTGTGTCTGAACTCCAGTGGGAGTATTTTTTGGGGTGGCTCTCTGAAAGAGGGGAGGCAGGATCCCAGGGTTTTTAAACTGTACTTTTTTTTCCACTTTGAAGCCCATACCCGTGCCCCAGAAGTGTCCTGCTGACAAAATATCCACCAATCTTTAAATGAAATCAGATTCCACCTGTGGTAGGTGGATCTGGCCCAGAGATGGCACCAGTTTTCACCTGGTTTGGGTGCAGCCCTGCCTAGGAGGGGAGCCCTGACTGGGAGGGAGCCTTGTAGTAGAGCCTGCCTTAAACAACCAACTTTTCAGCAGAATCCCAGGGGGTCTGTGTGCCAAGTGCTCTGGAGACCTATTTTCTTTGGCTCAGTCAAAAACCCCCATGCATCCTCATGGGCCTGGGGAATTTTCAGTATCTGAATTAGGGTTAAGTCCAGGCAGTGATGCCTGGCTGGGTTCTGCTCTCCTTGCTAAGAAACCAACAGGATGTTTGGCAGGATAGTCAAGAGTTGGACTTCAGTCTGTTTGGGACACAGGAGAGGCAGGTGACACCAAGGAGGGACAGGCCAGAGAAGGGCGGCTCATGCATGGGGACCCCCACCTTCGGACCCCGCTATCCCTTTGTTTGTATACTCAGTGGTGGCAGCCAGTCTGCCCTTGTCTGTAGTCTGACTGTTCCTAAGTGTATAACTTTCAGTATTCTGTGATGGGTGATTCTATTCTGGAAAAGGTTTATTATATTCCTATGGCTGCCTTGTACAAAATCCGTTAGAAAGAACATGTAAAATATCAGATTTCTAACATGACAAAACAGCATTATGGAGTTAAAAGATTTTTACAACTGGTCTTGATTTTGATGTGAGCTGGTTTTTAACTCTCAAACATTGTCACTTAAATAAAAACCTTATTTGCCTTTAAAATGTTTTTTGCTTTGAAAAAGCTCTCTCTTTACTCCTGCTCTAGGGATGGGGCAGGCAGGCTGGAAGCTGAGGGCATGCGGGAAGAAGCCAGACCTTAAACATATGGCTGGAAGCAGTGTCAGGCATGGGGTGGGGAGAATTGGAAAAAGGGTCAAATGTGGAATAAGTCTTTATTATGAAAATGCAATGTGATTTAGGTAACAGGGTACATGGGCTTCTTTATAATACAATGGTAAAGCAGAGTTCTTAAATAATTTACAAAGGGCGGAACTGCTCTCGAGTGGAACTCCCCCTCCCTGAATGCCCACTGTCCTATGCTAAGCTCATAAATAGTCACCCATAAGCCCAGGTAGCAGAATTTGGAGATATTGCCTCTCCTTTCTGCCAGGGCCCTGGTGGGAGAAGTAGGTCCCCAAGAACTTCTGCCTTGGAAATATAGCTAGGAAGTCTATAGATGACTCCCCAAAGACTGCCTTCCCACTGCGAACAAGACAACCACAAGACTTGACTGTGGGATGGGGTCCTAAGCCCAAGAGTCCCCCGAGGGAGTAAGAGCAACTCCCCAACTTTCCAAGTCACTCCCAGGCTGTGGCAGATGGTCACCCATGGGCCCAGATGTGGCTGAAGCAGAAGTATGCCGGGCCCCTTGTTCATCAGGTCCTTGTTAGTGGTGGTCCAGGGGAGCTGATGCCTCTGGTTCTCCCTCTGGGAAGCTTTGGGGCAGGCAACATAGATATCTTGGGTATGAGGACTTCGTGGCCAGACAGGACTTGTTTTCTATAAAACAGAGCTTTATAAATGTCCATTGCTGAGCTCAGGGAAGGGGAATTGGGCACCCTACAGCTTTCTCAACTGGCTAGAAGGTGCCTCTAGGTTCTCGGGGCGCCCAGCTGTGGTCAACGAGGTTAGCAGCTTTGGCTCCAAGCAGGTAGGAAGACCCTTAGACTTTCTCTTCTGCTGGGCCCACCCAGTCTGTGGGTTTTTCCCAAAGAGACTCATTTCTTTAACATGCTTATGAATTGGGGGGGGGAGACTGAGAAACATGCTGGGGAAGAGGGTATTACCTGAGGGGCCTGTCCTCAGTCACAAATGAGGGTGACGGTCATGTCAGCACTAGGGATGGAAAGGGGAAGAGGGATGGATGCTGCTGAGTGCGGTGGGTTGTAAGGAGACCCCCCCCCCAAACCAGACCAAAAGGTCAAAACCTGGAAATACAGTGGGAGCAGGGCCACTCTGCAGAGTCAGGGCTGGTAGGGCCCCCTAAGAGCCTTCTGTGATTGTTATACAAACGCAGACACAAGCATCCCGAGTTAGTCTTCAGGATGGGGCCCTAGGCAGATATACCAGGACCTCCACAGCGGCCATGTAACTTCCAATTCCACATGCAGGCAGGGCACAGAGGAGCCACAGAGAATGTTGGACAAAGGTTAGGCCTCTGAGAATCAGGTACTCACACGTGAGGTTTCTGATGACGAAAAAGGTGGGTACCCAAGACATGGAGGACCACATACATCCAGGGTACATCCTTTTCCATTACTCCAAACCAGGTCTTTCATCCCCTCTCATGTCCACAGCAAGGAGACCAAGGCCCAGAGAGGGGCAGGGACTAGCCAGGGTTACATAGCAGCTCAGAGCTAGAACCACAGGCTGCCTAAAAAGATGGTGTAGCTCAACGGGGCCCTCCCTGCCACTTCACTGTGAAGTATGGGACACCAACTCACTTGTCTTCAGTCATGATGGCCTTGTCCAGTGTTTGGGACAGCTTCTGGAGATGCTGTATTCCGGCTCCCACAGGCTCGAGATCACTGTCAGATTCACTGGATACAAGAGAGCCAGCAAGGGCTAGCTGGGGACCTGTGACAGGATCCCCTTCCAACCCAGTACCAGGGCCTGGTTTGTGTGTCCAGATGGCTTTGTGGGGCTGGGGCTGTCTCACCAGATTTCTGCTCAGCAAAATGACATCAAGACCCACCGTGAAGCCAAGGCAGTGAGCCTGCTGTTCCCCCCTGCAACCTGGGTCTCTGCCACCCCGATGTCCTCAGCAGCAGGCTTAGGTGAGTGACACCGAGGCAGATCTAAGCTTACCTCTTTCTTCTACAGGTGGGGAAACTGAGGCCCTGAAGGGTTTTTCTCAGATCCACCACTAGGTCTGGGGGCAGAGCTGGGCCAGGACACAGATGTGACTCAGTTCAGGGTGCCCTTGGCTCCAGGAAGCCATAGGAGGTACTCAGAGCCCTGGGGCCCATTTAGCATTTGAGTGGCCATTCATGGGTGCAAAACCCACTGGGTCTGGGGAGAGAGACAGCACACTACTTGCCTGGGAGAGCAGAGGGGCTCTGTCAAGGAGTAGGGGTTCTGGAAGGCAGCATCCCTCCTTGGCCGCCGTCGGGGGTGAGCACGTGGGCCCATCTGGGCAGAGAGGCGGTGATACTCCCTCTTGCCAGGGTCTAGAGTGGCTCCACACAGCCGGGTGCTCTTCTGACTTAGGCTGGGAGGTGGGGAGCCACTGCCCTTCTGTGCCCCTCTCTTCCTCCTTCTGGCTTTCACCTGTGTTTCCACCAGCCACTTGGTGCCACTCTGGCAGGACTCCTGGATTCTCTGTGATGCAACAATCCCAGGTAAGCACAGAGAGAACCACGGGCTCTAGGCAGCTCTCCAACCCACTAGCTTCCCATGAATAGTGCCTGCTCTTGGTCATAAGGGTGATGGGCGCAATGACTCCGTGTGGGACTGCTGTCCAGGGCAGGGACCTAGCTCAGAGTTTCAGGATGGGACCACAGACATCGGTAGCAGGAAACTCACTGTGCCTGAACCTTCTTCCCAGGAAGAGACTGACCCAGGGACTGAAGAACGCCCAGAGAAGAACAGGTCTAGGTCCTGGGGTACCAGGAGATCATTATCTTCCTGCTTCTGCTCCCAAAGTCCTTCTCTCTCCTCCACACTGGTCTTCAGAG